CCCACCATTTGCCCTCCCCCCCACCAGGACCCCAATCCCAGCCCCACCCTGACCAGCCTCAGCAGCCAGCAGGATCGTGCCCTCCCTGCAGCGTGGGCCCCCAAGCCCTTGGCCCTTGACCCCGCACTCACCTTGCCCCATGAGGTGCCGCAGGACGTCCTGCAGGCGCCGGAGCACAGCCGAGGTGACCTGGAAGTGGGGGGGGTCGGGCCCCGCGCCCACCTGGCACTGCCCGAACAGCCCGTCTGCAAGCACAGCCGGCGGGGGAGGTTGGGGCTGACCAGGCACCCGAGGGGGCTCCAGCCGCAGGGGCCGAGCCCCCAAGACCCGTGGCGCAGCACTGGGGTCCCCTCCCTGCCACGCCGGGACAGGCAGACAGACACGGCTCCCTGGCACGAGCCCCCCAGGGCCTTACCGGGCATGCAGACCTCCTGCGGGGCGCAGAGCCGGCGGTCGAACAGGCAGCCTGGACAGACGGACGAACGGGGGTCAGTGCTGCCCAGGTGGACGGGGCCGCAGGGACCCCCGAGGCAGCCCCAGAGACACCAGCCCAGCCCCTGCCCCGGGGCAGGAGGCAGCAAGACAGTTCCCCAGAGCTGCAGGCAGCAGGGATTTCCCCCTGCTCAGCCTGGCTCTGCCGGGGGGTTTCCCCTCCCTCTGCAGGGCCTGGGCTCCCCCAGCGCTCACCACCCCCCTGGCAGCCGCGACCCCCCTGTATCCCGGGGGCAGGGGCGATGCCTGGGGCCATGTCAGGGGTGTTGCACATGAGGCTGGTCTGGACGGGGCTGATCCTGCCCTGGGCTGGATGTGACCCCATGGCTCTATGAAAGTGGGGTGCTGCCCCCCGAGCTGCCCCACCCAGGGCAGGGGGAAGGGGTCTGGTGGATGGCCCCCCCCACTCGTCCAACTACATCAGCAGCATCCGATGACTCGGCCCGGGGCGGAGACGAGCGAGCGGGGACAGGCCCAGCTCGAGGTGGGGAAAGCGGGGTGCTGGGGTCCCCATCGCTGCAGGGTGGGAGGACCCTGGGAGCCCGGATAGGGGCAGGCATGGGGCAGCCGCGCTGGGGCTGGCGCCCGGGGTCCCACCAGCCCCGAGGGGGGGCAGCAGGCTGGCACCCCCAGCGCAGCCTCCGCTCCTTCCAGCTGGGAGGTGCAGCCCCGGCCCCGCGAGGGGTCAAGGGCCGGCAGCTCCTGTCCCTGCAGCCGCGGCCCCCCAGCTCCAGACAGCAGGAAACAGGCTGGCCCAGGCCCCCCCACGCCTGGTGCTAAAGGCTCTGGGTGCCCCCAGGTGTCCTGGCTCAGCCCAGGATGTCAGTGGGCTCCTGGCTCCCGCGGGCCCTGGCAGGTCCCCGAACCCAGCACGGAGCATCGGCCGCCCGGCCCCCTCCACTACGGCCCCCGCTCAGCTCCGCCGTGCGGCACTCGAGGCCGAGCTCTGGCCACTGGGCACCCCATGCCGCGCTCGCCAGGCCCAGGGAGCAGCAGCTGGGGCCAGCGCTCACCCAGCTCAGCGCCGGGCCCTGGGCCCCCCCCAGCTGCCCCTGCGGGGTGACGTGGCCCTGCCCAGAGCCCCCCAGGACGGCGCGTGTCCGTCATGGGCGGAGCGACCAGGGCCTGTAGCAGGAGCATCTTGCCTGGGCCGGGTGCCCGGGGCAGTGTCGCGTGCTGCACCCCGGGCTCCAGGAGTAGCCAACAGGGGCCCCAAGGAGCCTTGCACAGCTCCCGATGCCCCCCCCCCCCCGACAGCCACTGGGGCCAGCGGGGAGGGGGGCGAGAGGGCTGCCTAACTGCTCCCTTGGGGTCTCCTGCCCCCACGCTCCCTGCAAGCCCTTCCAGTTCCTGGGTGGATGCAGCAGCCAGGCCCTGCCTGTCGCCCCCCAAATGCCGTGGGGACCCCCTGACCCCAGCGCCCGCAGGGCAGCCCTGCAGACCCCCACCCTTCCCAGGGAGACGGGAGACAGGCTGTGCCCAGCACCCGCAGCAGCAGGGAGACCCCCAGACGCCAGGCTCGGGCTGACCCGGTGCCCAGCAGGGCTGGAGCCGGACACACGTGCAAGAGCCCTGGGGACAGCCCCCAGACCCGCCACGGAGGGGAACAGCCTGCGCGCCCACCCCCAGACGGGTCCGCCTGCAGGAGCCTCACCAGCACCACGCTCCCCCCGGACTCCCCGGGCAGCCTGGCCCCCCGCCATGGGGA